GACTTCTTGCGGAGATAAAATGGACTTGGACATGTCATCAGATTCTCTCAGCTCATTGCCCAGTTTTTCCTGTAGGGAAATCACAGGGGAGAGATGGTTCTATTCAGAAAGCATCGAGATGACTCTAAGCTCCCAAAAGCTGAGTTTGGGGGCCTGGGGCTCCCTCCCTGCAGAAAGCTCCAGAGAACATGTGGTAGCCAAGCCACTCTGCTCCCGCCTTGGCCTCACAAGGACCCACCCCAGCCTGCCTCTCGATGGTGCTGACATTGTCCTAGCTCCCACAGCCCATCAATGCTTCCTGTTCTGGGTTTGGAGCTGGTGCAGTCATTAGCAATGGCATGTCCTCTGCCTTCAGGGGTGGAGAGTGGGTGGCTAAAGGGACTCCAGTGAGCATGACATTTGGATATTCTGTAGGCACTGTCCTTAGCGACTAGTAGGTCAAGTCAACTCCGATTTACAAATATAAGGAGGTTCCCTTTTTTCTCTCCCCACCCCTCCTGCCCTCTCAACTCCACTTGGCAATGCTTCCAAGAGCACAGTCCAGGGCCTGATGACAGTCATCTTCTTGTGTCTGCCACAGGGAATCCATGAAAGCTTCTCAGGGTGCAGAAAGAAGCTCCGAAGATGGAACTCAGCACAGCTCCTCCTGCTGCCAAGAGGTGGAGCCCTGGCCGGCCAGGCAGATGTGGAGAATTCGTGGAGGCCCAGGGTAGCTTGCCCGTAGGGCAACAGGAGAGGCATGGCACGGTGTGCCTGGCACTTAGGGTATCCAATTTAATGCCAACAGTGTTTCCATGAAACAGGGACTGCCACCCCCATGTACAGCTCAGACTGGACGTGGTCCCTCAGTTGGTCAGTGGCAGATTTGAAGTTCAAACCCAGGTCTGCCTGTCCCCAAATGTATCCTCTTTCCTGGTCACCATGGTGCCCCAAGGCAAGGGTAGTCCAGAGTCAAGCGAGCTTGCTTCCAGCTGTTCAGTCTTCTTGGAGAGCTGCTCTTCCATCCAAAGCCATTTCCCAACACAGCCATCATCCAACGCAAGAAAATCAGGAAGGACAAACCCCGAAGTAGCGTGCTCACCCCCACCCTCCACTGCCCTGGGGCGGGGGCCATGACTGGGGCAGCATCTTCCTTGTACTTCTCTCCCTTCTTGAGTCCACACCACACTTGATTTAATGAACTAGTTTCTAGAACTCCCTTGCCACTTGCCCTGTAGGCTCGGCAGGAAGGAGAGAGCGTAGCAATAAAGCCCAGGTTAACTGGAGCTTCCTCTCTCCCCACCACCGAGGGAGACGCCACAGGCCAGCAGAGGGCAGGGTGCAATGGAGCAGCTCCGATCAGAGCAGCAGGCTGGCAGGGTGGTTAAAGCATAGACACATAAGCCAGCCCGCCTGGGTTTGCATCTGAGTGCTGCCACCTCCCCTCTGCACCATCTTGGACAAGATGGTAACTTCAGTCTGCTCTTCTGTCAATGGGAATACAGTGCCAACCTGACTGCATCCCAGGGGGAGAAAAGGAGTTCATATTTATGCAACTTGGGACAGTGCCTGGCACAGGGTGAGGGCTATATGAGCATCTGTTAATCTTAAATACATATATTTTTAAATATCTGCATCTGATTTTGGCTTGGGAATTTCAGGAGTGCTATGAAAATCCTCCTAAAATGTCCAATCCCCTTTTTCTGCTCTGGAAGGTATGGTACCAAAAAAAACAAACAAACAAAAACACTTCACTCTAGAAGTAGAATGTGGCAAGTAATGTTCTAGTTAATTGATGGTCTGCACAGCCCTGATTTTGTCAACAGCACCTCTGAGAAGACTTCAACGTCCTTTCTATTTACTCACTTGTTTTAACGTAGGAAGTGTACAGTGAAGTGAAGAGGCCAGGTTTTTAGAAAACACATCAGAACTTAGAAATTCAAGGTGGTCACCTGGGCAGACTGGGCTCCCTCCCATTGCTCAGAGAGGCGGCCCTGGGCAGGAAGGCTCCTCGGTGTCACCTCTGTCCATCTCTGTGTGTCTGTCTGTCTTGCTTCTCTCCCCTTCCCTCCCCTCCTCACTGGAGCTTGTTCAGAGTTGATAGGGATCTTTATCATCATCTAATATAACTTTGTAAGTGAGGCAACCAAGGTTGAACAAGGTGACTAGAATCCAGCCATTAAGAACGTTACCAACCCTATTTACCACTCGGGGCTCCAAATGACTGGCTTTTCCTAAAAACTTTAGTCCATTTCTAAAAGACAAATATCTACCCCCCCACTGAGACTTAAAAGAATGGGCAACAGGTTATGAACACAATTACTTGTATCATCACAGAGTGTGCGACCAGTTTATTCCCTTGGCATCCTAGCTGACTTGGAGGAAAGGCCTGTGTTAAACTCACTTCACAGATTAGAAATGGTTGGCAAAGAATTTCTCCAGGCAGCAGGCGACGTGGGGGCTTTGCCCTTATGTGAGTAAAGGAAAGTATTATATGGTCATTTGGTGATCGGTGGGATAGGGCTGGGCACTAAAGTCAGGCAAGTGTGCACGCGTGAGCACATGTACACACACATGGCCCTTTGGCGTGAAGCTAAGCCATTGAAGGTGGACCGTTAGACCCTGGGAGCCCAGGGGCCAACAGTTCACCAGCACTGGGGAGGTTAACCAGGGCTCCCAGGTGGGCATCTCTGTGAGCAGGTGAGCCATGGGCAGGAGTTGGGCAGCAGGTAAGAGGCAGCCACCCTGATGCCTGGAGCTGCCTGGTATCAGGACAGCCTGGTGGAGACAGCGGGGCCCAGCTAAGGCCTGAGGACTAAGTCAGGGCTTATGTCTGGGAAGGCCTTAAGGGAACCAGGTTGGGCTCAGGCCTGGGAAACTTGTGTTGCCAAGCAGGTTATAAAGGCAGGGCCTGCAGTGCGGGAAACTGAGAAAACGACCTCATGTCTGGCCTCGGAACAAGGCCAGATGTGCAGCCCACCACCAGGTCAGCACAGGACCAGGGCTCACTGGATGCCGAGTGCCCTGAGCCCATTAACCGGCCTCCTTGGATCCTCCACAGCCACGGGGATTCGCTGGGCCTTTACATTGGTCCACGTGGTCTTAGCAGCATTGAGAGGAGAGCGTCAGGGGCAAGAGCCAGGTGGGAAGCTGATGTCTGGCTTCTCAGCTGAGCACAATCGCCCCAGGCTGTAAGCTTTCTCCAGCGAGGGGAGAGGCATTCCTCTGCGGTTCTGACTTGACAAGGTACTAGAGCTTAGAAAACGTAGGCCAGCACAGCCTTACAAACAACGCATGGCCCAGATCGGGAGTCCCCAGGGGACTGGCAGCAAAGAAAGTTCATTTCATAGACTTTGCTGCACATGCATAGTGGGCCTACGCTGCATGCGGTGACTCTCCCCAAAAGAACTCCAAAATAACTAAATATCACTCTCTGGCCACCCCCACCATCCTTCTCCTGATTTCTTTCCTATTTCTTGCCTCTTATCTGTCCCCCCAAGCCCAATCTTAATGTCTAGGCCCAAAAGTCTTAATGTTTCTAAGACTCATTCAAACCGTTAAGCTAATTAACAGTAAGATAGTAACATTTTATTCTCCCCAGTTTTATTGACACATTGTGAGAGGATCACAGAGAACAGGAATCATCTCAGCCAAAGGAATTAATACTTAATGGTAAAATTTCAGCTTTGTGATGCCTGAATGGGGAGGCATTTTAGGGCAGAGTAAAGCTACCCAGCATCCATTCTTCCTTCATCATAGCACCCCCATTTCCTCTTAGGAAATTTCCTCTCCCCCATTATGCAATCCAGGGGCTTATTTCCTATTCAGGATGCCAGACATGATATATCCTCGCACTCAAGAATAGTAGGAAGTAGACACAGGACCCCAGTTCAGCCGGCTGGACGATGGTTGGTGGTCGTTCATCACAGAGGCAGCAGCATGCTGACCTGTAGATCCTGCTGTCTAGCCCTTCACATGACCTTGGTGCCTACCTTAGCCTCCCCTGTCCTCCCACTTCCCACTGACACTGTGAGCCACCTGCCCCCAAAGCCTTTCAGTTAGCCAGACTTTGCTGTTTGCAGAAAACATGGATCCCAAGTGGCCTCCACAGTCAGGCCCGTGGTGGCTGGGGAAGAGGGCTGGTTGACTCGCTGTCCCTCCACACAGAGGCCGGAACACAGGACGTCACGGTGACCACCACCATGGATATGGTGAATGTGTGACCAGAAAAAAAACAGCCATTTGGGGAGGCCCCAGGATTGGGAGAGTGGAAAACGGCGTCCCATCTCCCCATGGTGACAGGGAGGGATCATGTGCAGTCAGTCCTGAAGGCCACACGGACAGCCGGCACATCCCTCACCTGGCCATCTTCCCCCTCCTTCCTGCCTTGTATACTCGTACACACACATGAACACTCACAGGCCTACACATGCGCACATGCATTCAACTGGCAGGCATCCTCCTGGTCCTCTCCTGGGAGATGCTCTCCAAGGTAACATGGCAGGCCCAGCATCTGGTGGTGGCTGGGTGGCAAACAGAGAAAAAGAGAAGAGGTGGACCACAGTTGTCTTCTTTCCCTGGTGGGACCCAGGAGGCCAGGTCCCTGCCTTCACACTCACATACCGTAAATAAACCAAGAGTCCCAGTAAGAAGACACCACCATCCTCTACATAAGACTAACAGGAGCACCTCAGGCATCCGTAAGATAAAAACATACCCAAGGTGTGACATCAAGCTGTCTCTCCCTCCTCCATCCCCATGGCCACTTCCATTCCCTTCCAGTTTGGGACCAACAGGCACTGACTGGGAAGGGGGGGTGGGGTAGGAGAAAGGTGAGTGGCCCGGCAGACTCAGCACAGTGGGACGCTTAGACCTACCTAAGGGAGCTAGCTGCATCACCCACACTCAGCACACATGATGGATGGAGGGAGACACGCACGCACATGCGCACACACTCTCCCCAAGGCCCACCGGGAGCCCCGGGGAAGCAGCCAGGAACCAGAGGAGAAGGCACACCAGAGTGAGGCAGAAAACAAGCTGCTTCCTAGGACGTTTATTGGAGCCTGGGCTCAGCGTGAGTACGATCAGAAGCCCTCATTTACGGCCTGGCAGCCCGACAGGCCGGGACACAGCAAGTCAATCTCCTTTTATCCCATTATAGACAACGTCATAAAAAAAATAAACTTTACAATAATACATTTCGCTCATCTGTGGGGGTATTATTTCGATAGTTTTGTTTCTTAAAAAAAGGAAAGAAAGGGGAACCACACAATATATGTATATGGATGTGTATATACATATATGTTGAGCAGGGAAACATGTCGTGTACATACAGTTGGTGTACATCTCGGAAATGAGGAAACAGAAGGTGGAAGAGGGGAGAGAGAGCTGCAGAGACCAAGGACATCTCCCCGTAGTCTTCTCTGCCCCTCTCCGCAGCCCCTCTCTCCAAAGGGAGACCCTCCAAATGGACCCACGAAAACACAAAAGAGCCAACAAAGAATCATTTCTCTTTGATTTCAAAATTCCTGCCAAGGCGGAAGCAGCAGCTCAGAGCAGAGCCCGAGTTTTGCTCCCTCTGCCCGCAAAGGTCTCCCAGGTGGGCTGAGCTCCCCGGCCCCTGGAGCTGCCCAGCCCCCTGTGCTACAGTGGGAGAGGAGGGACCTCAGTGTCACAGCCCTCCACAGGCCAGGCGCAGATCTGCCCGGCCCAAGAGGGAGGGCAAAATAAACTCCACCCTTGAAGCCAAGTGGAGGTGCTAAAGGTGCCCAACTGGACCCCAAGAGCCAGCCTCCCTGCTCCACCACCTGTGGCCCCCTGCCAGCCCCTAGCAGGTCCCCGAAGTGGGCAGTTTGATAACAGCAGCGGCCACTGTCCTGCCCCAGACCACATCAGGCACAGCCACAAGTCCCTTGGGTCACAGGGGTCTCATCTTGGTCTCTTCCGGCAGCAGGGTCCAGAGAGGAAAATACCAGAAGAAAGTGCAGGGCATGACCCTCGTGCCCGCCTTGGCCCTGGGGTGCCCTTACCAGGGGACCTCCAGGTGGTTCTCAGGCTGCCCGCCTACTGTCTGTTTGGTTTAGAAAAACTTCTCCAGAGAAGAAACCTGGGAGCAAACAGGTTCAGAGACAAGGTGGGAAAAATCTTTTTTTGCAAGGTGTGTGTGTGTGGGTGGGTGTGTGTGTGTGTGTGTGTGTGTGTGTTTCCATTTCGTCAGGCGGGTGCTCTCGTCCGCATAGCTTTCAGAAATCTCAACACGGTGCCCAGAGCCTACAAGGCCAGCTTCAGTATTAGGAAGGAAACAGCGGTCAAGGTGGCTGAAGATCTGGCTCTGCGGGAGCCTGAGTTAGGTCTTATCACCTTGTTACTCCCTGGGATGATGTTGGTCGTGAGCTGAGGCCATAGCAGAAGGGGAGACAGAAGCAAAGAGAATATGGAAGACAAAAAAAAAAAAAAAAGTCAGTAGGGCTGGGAGCAGGCAAAGGACCCGGGAGCTGGACTCCTCACGCCCCTGCCCCCCGAGGCATGCGCCTTGGCACTCTAGCTTGGAGACAGAGCCAGGCTTCTAAGGAGCTGGGCTTAACACCACCACCACCACCCAGCCCCCAGGCTGGGGCAGACAAGGCCACAGTCCACAAGACAACCTGGCTAACACTGCCCAGCAAGGAAGAGGTTCTGCAGGCTGAGGGTGGGGGTGGAAGGGGGAGGGGGCAGGCGGTTTAAAGGCCTCAAAGAGAAAAAGCTTCTGGGGTCCACAAAGACCTACTTCTTCAGAGGAGAGGGAAGCTTTGTTCTTCCTCTTCCTAAATTTCTTCAAATCCCTCCTCCTTCATGAAGCCTCCCTTGCATAACTTTGACTACACTCTCCTCCCCCTGTAAATCGGATGCTGCCTTTTGAAGTTATAGACAGACTACATATATAGCCATAGACACACTCATGCGCTGGAGCTCCTTCTAGGAAGGGACTGTGTCTTTCTCCATCTCTATTACCTCCACATCCTAGAACTGGCACAGAGCAGGTGCTCCGTACATTCTTCTTAGAGTCAGAAAGGCTTGGAAGGGCCTCTGCTCAGAGCAGCCACTTACGTCTCTCCCAGAGAGACAGCCAAGGGCCCTGGCTGCAGCCTCTGCACCCACCCCCACCCCCCCAGCAGAGTGAGTGCCCACCCAGGTACAGGCAGGCCAGGAGCTCAGCTGCCCAGGCCCGCAATGTCATCTGAGGGCTCTGAGTCCAAGGCTGGCCTGGAAACAGACCCATGTGACCAGTCCCCCGCACCACCTCAGTCGGCCCCCACTCACCTCTGTGAAGCACATGCTTAGCTCTTTAGAGCTATTGGCCTTCAGCCCCTGCTCCTGTGGGAGAGAAAGCACTAGTAAGGACAGGTCGCTGCAGCTGGGTCTCTGGCCAGGCTTTGTCCCGTGACTCAGACAAGACCCAACACTCCATGGCCCTGCCATCCACTGCTGGCCTCATGAAGCACAGGGCACATGAGAAGTGTGCTGGTCCCATCAGTGACTAAGACCTGTCTCCTCAGTGACTAAGACCTGTCTCCTCTGGGCTCTAATTCTGTTCTCCAACTTACAGTATAATATGGTAATAAACCATTCACAGTTCTCTCTGCCATACTCAGAGCTCTTCTGGACAAGGCAGGGAACATGTCTTCTTTTCCTCGTGTTGAGCAGTGTCTGGCTCATAACAGCAGCTCAGTAAATAGTTTACTTGATGCATGAATGAATGAATAAATGAATGCATGAATGAATGAATAAATGAATGCATGAATGAATGAATAAATGAATGCACGAATGAATGAATGCATGAATGCACGAATGAATGAATGCCACAGATCAGAACTGGCATCTGAGTGCCAGTTCCAGAAAGACCATGAGTTCTCGTTTGGGTTCATGGGGAAGACAGCTGTGATTGACTAGTGATGTCTGCCACTGGTGCATGTTGGGCGGACATCTGGCAACAGTGTTGGCCATTCCATCTAAACAGATGTGTGGCACCTGGGAGCTCTGTGGTCAAGGTGAAGAATGAGAAAGGAAAGCTGGCATGGTGATGACTCCAGGGTTCTCCACCCCTGGCATGACCAACTGGATGCAGGACCAGAGGGTGTGCATGAAGGACAGTCGTTTGTTATCATCATCATAACAGTGATCTATGGGAAGCAGCTGGGGGATGTGGAGTTTCTAATTTGGCTTCAAATGCCTTGGTGCTCAAGGCACCTGTGGGGAATCTCTGGCCACCAGAAGCAATTGGGAAGCCCAAGAAATTATGCCTAAATCACTGTTCTTGGCTAGAAGTAATACTAATCCCTTGGACATCACAGACAATCTGCCACCCAAGGCACCTGGTTAGCTAAACAAGGCACCAGCTGTCACACAGAGGTCCAGTCAAGAGCAGAGTCACTACCAATGGTAGAGATGTGGCCACAGTGACAATGACTGCAGTGGGACTGGAACTAGGGACCAGACCCAAGAGGATCCTATCCAAGACCACAGCACCAGTGACCCCAGTCGCCAAGATCCAGCCTGGCCAAGCCACCAACCTGCATCCCTGGAAATGGGCTGGTGCTCTAAGGCCCTTTGGCCCCAAGGACTGTGTTCTACAGCCCAGGACCAAGTGTAATTCCAGCTAGGGCTGCGGGAGGCCGCTGCTGGAATGGCCTGCATGCCCCACCTCGGAGACTGTGCTGTCACCAATGTCTTCCAACTACCCCCCACCTTCAGCAGTCCTCACTTGGTCACCTCCCTCAGTCACTCCCAGCCCCTGCTAGGTCCCCACCCGTGACGTCCTATGGCCTGTTGGGCTCTGTGCCACATGGCCCAGTACCTGTTTCTCCTGGCATCCTTTCCTTCTCTAACTGTTGCAGGTGTGGCAGGTCTGTCTCCACCCCTCCAAGTCCGTGTCTCCCTCCTGTGTGCCTCCCCACAATGCTCACTCAATATGGAACCTGTGCTGTCAGACAGCCAGGAGCAAAGTCCTCACCTTCAACTCAACCAACGCAGCTCTGTTTTTGTTTTATATATGAGTTAGGCACAAAATTGTACTTAAAAATAGTCTACTGCTTAAAAATAAATAAGGTTTGAGAAAACAACTCAATTCGATGACCTCTAGGCCTAGCCCTACAACCTTCTATGACGGGATGCCAGCTCTTGGGGAGCACAGGATCCTCGACACTACTGGCTCTGGAATGCTGCACCCCAGGTCAACCCCCACAGAGAGAAGCAGCAAAGCTCAGGAGCCCCAGGACCAAGGTCTCGGCCAGGGTGAGGAGACGGAGTCTGGTGTGGACACTCGGGAGCAGCCTGGCCTATGGCTGGATTTTGCAGCTCAGTGTGAGTGGCACTTGACAGGTTCCTCTTAAAAGGGGAGAAGGGATGGAGTGTTGTCAGCAATTGCAGGCATAAAAGGAAGGGGAGAGGAAAGAGGGAAGAGGTAGAAGAAATAAGAGGAAGGGAGAAGTAGAAAGAAAAGGGAAAGGCAGCACCCAAGGAGACAAGGAGCGCAGGGCAGGGAAGAGCGGGTGTGGAGGGAGCAGAGGGGAGGGGAGCTGATGAAGTGGGGAAAGGAAGGAGGCAGGGGTGGAAGGAGAGGGGACAGGGGAGGTGAGGGAAGGGAGGAGCAGGAAGGAGGGGAAGAAGTAGGGGGGAGGAAGAGCGTGTGGAGGGGAAGGGGAGGGTGTAGAGAAGAAGGGAAGGAAGTAGAGGGGGAGGGGAGGGGGGAAGGGCAAGAAGTGGGGCAGGGAGCAGA